ATTAATATATCACCTGATCGATAAAGCTATTTCCTCACTGCATGCTGAATTATTTTAGCCAAATTTATTCATTTTTTATGGTTGTCTTATTTCCGAAGGCAAGGATGCGATGAAAAAAGTGCAATAGAAGAATTGGAAGCTAAGAACATAGCACAGTGAGAGGATACCTGTTATAAATCTAAAGATAATTTTGAAAAATCAGTAGTGGAGGACTTGCGTAAAAACTATTCAGCTAATTATTGGAAAGTTATAAGAGAACTCTTTCAAATACTAGGCTTTACTGGCATTGATGATAAGCATATCCTTTCTAGCAATATTGTATCAGAAGCATTCACATGATCCTGTGAAAAGTTTATAGAGCTCCTGGATCAATCTCTATTACTTTTCGGCTTCGAGTCTCGTGCTAAGATAATATCGGATCTTAACTTAGCTATAAAGGCAATTAATGCAATTGTTAGAAATTGGTGTGGCTATACTGTAAAGATAAATAGGAAAAAAGTAGGGCCTAAAGAACAATGAGTTTGGGAATGTTTATATCAAATTAATCAGCAACCTTATAATGGTCTTGGTTTTGGAGATAATGGCGCACCAGAACTTCTACCATATAGGCCAAAAACAGATAATGATATTCAGGAACTCTTTGATTCTATGGAGCAGGAAAAATAATACTTCAGCTCAGATCACTCATTATTCAGCTAAGTGTTTTGACCACATCAGAGTCTGTCGCATTTTTTTTACCTTCATGCCAGGTATTTTTATAAATTCTATTATGTATACTACAGATCCCGATATAAGAATTGGTTAACTTATTACAGATAAGACAAAATTTTTTAGAACGTATTTTATAGTGTATAGCACATCCTGAAGCATGCCAGCACCCTTTCTCACAAATCAAACCATCTTTCTTGATGTATTGGCAGGATAAACGATCCATATAAGTCAAACCATCTTTCTTGATGTATTGGCAGGATAGACGATCCATATGAGATAATTTTGATATTAATAATCTCAAAACTTCATTTTCACTTTTATTATAGATATTCAAAAATACGATATCACAGGTAAAATATTTTTTTTTGAATTGAACTTTTTCTATCTAATATAATCTGAGAAACAGAGATTAGTCTAACTATTATCTATATTTTACTTACTACACTAAATATCTGAACTTACTTATACTATGGACATGATGCAAAAAAGAGTGCTCAACATTCTAACTGGTCGATAGATCGACCCAAACAGAAGGTTATTCCAGAAGTTAATTCGTAAAGGTTATAAATATGCTAACAGACTTTCTGATTATTCAAAAGACAGTAATAAATTCATATTTGACCCTTTTTATGACTTCTTCCCAGTTCTAATTCCACCCTATCTATCATAGTGAATAGATCAGATATTTGTAAGAACTTTCTTATTAATGTAGAATTTGTTGTTAAGGGTGGGATGAGCTTATTCACTATTGAAAAAAATAAACAATCATCGCTTTAGAATTTAATCCAAATGAACTATTCTAGTGATAACTTGTTTACGTTGATAGGAATAATTTGGAAGCATGAAGAGACAAAAGCTTGGAGGAATAATGTATTTATAAAATTCCTCTATCACCTGAATTTAACTCCTTCGAAACATAGACCAGGCGCTTTATATGATGCATTTACCAAGACAAATGCTTTAGAACCAGAACATATATTAGCTCTAATGCGAGCACTTGATTAAAATGCGATTATGATTCAAATTTATTTATAGTCTTGGAATAGGGTTCCATGTCTATGTATTTTTTTTTGCATATTTTATCTGCCTACAAATTTCAAATTGATATAAACCCTTCCTGATCAAAGTAGGTTCTTTTGAAACTACATTCATAGTGCTTTTGGCTAAGATATATTATTCTCGGCCTTCTGTTAGCCTTCACCGATCATGAGTGGGTCACAGAGTATCCATATATAGTGAATTGTCAGAATATTTTTTCGAATTAAACTTTATCTATATAATATAATCTGACAAAGAAAGATTAATCTAACTATCGCTTATATTCTACATATCTTATCATGTTCGCTATTACAACCAAGTTCGTTACAGATTACAAACTCACTACTGAGATGAGTCTCGAAGAACTTAGCCGATATACACCAGAAATACTTGAGCTCTTAACAGATAATAAAGAGATAAAGCACCAGGCTCATAATCGTCTTATAAAAGGATATGACTTTACCAAAGAGCAGACGTTTGCACTGATTTCTCTTCAAAGAATCGGGCGATGCAAAAGTCAAGCACTCCTTAAAGAAGGAAGATTAGAAGCTGAAGAAGTGAATATATACCAGGTATCTGATAGTACTTGTTCTGAAGAGACTATTAAAGAAACAGCTCAGCATATTATGAAAGATAAACTTAGTAAAAGAGATATAAAAGCGATATCTAGAACTTTAGTCGAAACATCTCCTGATGCCGTTATTGCCTTATCATATCTTTCTAGACTTTGAAAAGAATTGCGAACTCTCAATGCTCCAAAGGAAATAATTTCTGCTACATTGAACCCGAAGATAATCAAAGAATCTAATAAAATCTAACAGGAACGTAGCGAGCAACGTGAAAATGAAGGGATCAATTTTCCGAACCACTTTTCATTAGAATCAGTTAAGAAAAGATTGGATGGGTACAACATATCCAATATACTTGACAAACAGGCCCTAGCTAATGTAATAATTATGCTCTGTATTTGTCCTGCTGAAATTAAAAACTTGTGTATATCTAATGGGGCCGTAACTAGATATGCAAAAACTAAGATCAACAGGACATCCCTCGAGTATTTAGATCACTGGAAAAGAATAAAGATCGGGCAAGACAATTGCTTACATGGATTCAGGAAGTAATTGTTTCTGGAAAGTTAAGAGATCCAGGAAAGCTTGGATCTACATACTTAAGTACGTTTCTGAAAAAAGATGAGTTTCTTCCAGAAAGTGATAAGCCATTACTTCCTAGCTCTTTACGCAAATTAGGGGCAGTATTTGCTTCTGTAGCACATGGGCCTAAAAATGCATCAAAAGCTAACACTTATGCTAGTGAAGCCCTTCAGCATTCACCCAATAACCATGCTTCTCCATCTAAAAGATATACTATAGTCAATATGCGGAAAAGAGAAGAACTCTATAATCAGGCAAGTCTATTCTACATCTTCGATGAAAACTAATAATAAATTTCTTGGAAGATAGGTTAGATGTTGTTTATTAAATTTTATTTTTTTGTTCGCCCAAGATATTGTATATATAAAATACTATGAAAATGGCAACCGATCAAAAGCGTCTATTTAATAGTGCATAGTCCCTAAGGGACCAGATTATCATATGTACAGAGAAAATAGCTCAGATATCTGGGCTAGATAAGCAAAATTTGAAGGTATATAGTATGCTTTCTAGAGAAATTAGAGCATTAGATAAAAAACTGGATGATTATCATTCTGAATATAATAGCTTAAAAAAGATAGTAAAAAGATTAAAAAGAGATGTGAGAACCCAAAAAATTGAATTAGAAAATATGGATGAATGTGTAGATAGAGACACTGTAGTTGATTTAATACATGAAATAGTTTCCCTTTTATTAATTAATGAAAAAAAGGTGAGACTCCTCTTACTCATCTGAAACATCTGAAGAATCTGATTCATTTGAGATAATTGAGGTAAGAGAATGAAAGGCTGTTCCTCATAAGCAACAAAGGAAGATACGACCAAAGAAGGTCAAGAAAGCAAAACCTAGAAGAAATTTAATTTAATTAGTCTTTATTTAACTAGTTCAAAGCAGTGATCTCTAGTTTGAAGGATTTTCACTGGGCCCTCATATACGTGAGACTCAAAATGTCCACTATTTTTCTAATGCTATTCCAAGTTTTTTTTCTTATAAATTGGGAAATAAAAATCTATGAAGTGTATACCCCCTTTCTTCACTAATCATTCCAATTACCAATAGATCGATCAGTCCTTGGCTTATTCTTATTAAATAAAAGTCTTAGTTAATAAAATTCACACGTTAAACATGCCTAATATTTTTGAGAAATGGGAAAAAAATAGTTATACCTGATACATGTTATCTAAATATGGCTTAAACTATATTAGTAATTTAAAAACACCAGAAGCATGGTTACAATTTGCGAAGTATCATCCACCCGAATATATACAAAGACGTTTATTAATACTAGAATATGATATTAATAGAAAGGTTCATTGGAGAAACTTTGTATTTCGTATTAAAAATAATTTAACCAGAAATAAATCCATAGCCAATAACTCTAAATTTAGAGAATTTAAAACCCAAGTAACATATTTTCTAACTTTGTATATAAAAAATCAATCAGCAATTATTATCCAACAAGTATATCATTTATAGAAAAAATGAATAAATCGATCAGCGATTATTATCCAACAAGTATATCGTTTATAAAAAAAATGAATAAATTTGGCTAAAATAATTCAGCATGCAGTGAGGAAATAGCTTTATCGATCAGGTGATATATTAAT